TGCAATCGCTGGACCATACAGCCAATAGGCCCATAGCTCATATCTTGGGTACGTAAGCCTACATATTTATTCATAACAACCTTTTTGACGACGATCCTTGATACCGGTACTTTTCCATAGAATACATGGCCTACCTACTTAAGAAATATAATTACAAATGACCAAAACACCAACATTGTGTGATTTTCGTCACATTTCCTTCTAATGTTAATAGATATACTAATCATTGTTTAGAGAATGCGTAATCTATTAAATAACAAAAAGTTGTTTGGGTAAGGTTGTTTTTTTTTCAAACTGACACCGATAAGTTTACGCTTTAACTTTTTACGAGAAAATCCAAAAGCAAGAGATCAATAACCTCGGGACTAGATAATAATGTATTTAATTGGTCGGATGTACTATAGTTCTTAGGTAGGTTCTTACGTAGGTACTGGTTCTTTTCCTTAGAACCGTTGGTAGCTGCTAGAATCATTTTTACGTAGGTATCAACACATCACTGTACAAATTAGTTATCGTTGGTGTTGCACCTTATTTATTAGAGCCGTCCGTATTCAATTTAAGTGATGTCTTAACTCTGTATAAGTTTTGCTTTTTCTGTCTGGATTCCAAATCTTAGCTTACCCGGTATGCTAAGAAAATAATAACCTATTTGAGTAAAACATTTGTTGGGAAACCATCATGAATTGTTTACGCCTTTATATTGTTTATGTATCAATAGTTCGTGGCCTTTTTTGGATTGTTGTGTGTATGTCTGTTGGTAACGCATTGATGTCCTTATTTCTCAGTGTTTCACGGAATGGACAAGAGCACCTTTGATACTGAAAATGTCAACCGGAATAAAGTGTTAAATGGTGAGGTTGAGGTAGTACTTTAAATACGTTTAAGTTAACCGATGTGGAAAGTAACTTTCAATTATAGGCCTACTTTAGGGCTACGCTTCATGGATCTATAAAACATTTTTTAGTTTAATCATTGGACATATGGACCATAACGATCCGGGTGACATTTAATTGCGAAGCATTTATTTTGGCTTGAACTGTCAGATACTGTATTTGCGAAGGTTTATATATAATAGTTTTGCCAGCATATCTGCAAATATGCAAACTAACTGCTGTTCTTAATCTTAATATAAGAAGGTTTCAACTGACTACTATAAGATCCCCGTGCGTAGAACGGGCACACAGCTAGTATATACTATGTGTAATGCTAATCATTGATACGTCCAATTCTTCTGTAAGAGGATGACAGATTAATTAAATATACATAGTAAAATACTATGTATATAAATAGTATTATATATTATATTTACTATTTATTTATTTCTATCTATTTATTATATTTACATCGCTGCCTTTGCAGATGACATAGTGTTATTCTCTAACACAGACAAATCAATGTCTAAATTGATTAGGACAACAAAAGAACTACTTTCTCAAATTGACCTTGATATTAATATAAATAAATCAAAAATTATTAATATTAAGAAAGGTAAACTTGTTGAAGAGGACATCTACATTGAAAATGAACAAAATGTTATTAAATTCAATACTCTAAAACTTGGGGAAAAAATTAAATATCTTGGTGTAAATTTTGAAAATGAAATTGTTTTTGATAGGTGTGAAGTTATACAAAACTTTCAAAAAGATCTAGAAAGATTAGTTGGAACTAGTGTTTTAGGACCAAATCAGAAATTGAATATCATAAATCAGTACCTCTGGCCTAGACTAACATATATTTTGCAAGTAACACCAAACGAATTAATAAGTATTACATTTCTTGAGGACATCGATAAAATTATTAGAAGTGCAGTAAAAGAAATTCTCACTCTACCAAGTGACACACCCAACTCTTTCTTATATTCCCCTAAAAGATTCAAAGGTCTGGGAATAATTCGAGCAAAATGGGAAAGTTCTATACAGCATATAAATATGTGTGTAATTCTAAAAAACGTACAAAATAGCCATGTAAACGAGCTAATAAACATCCCCCAAAGAATTACCATGTCACTTCAAAAACTTCAAATAGAAATTGATGATATTTTTACACATGATTTTGAATTTAAAGAGAAAAAAAGAATTGGTTTAAATTTGAGATCAAAATTACAGTTGAAAGAATTTGAACTTTGGTCTAAATTACCATGTAAAGGTAGAGGAATAGAATTATTCAAAGAAGTGCCTAGTAGCAACACATGGATATATTTAAAAAATGGCCTTACTACAGGAGAATGGATCACTTCATTAAAAATGATATCTGGTGTTGTACCAGTACGCAGCGTACCAGGGCGAAGCCAGGACGGAACCCTTTGCAGACATTGCAAGGAGCCTGAAACCCTTCCGCATGTCCTTGGCTCTTGTCCCTTTGGTGCCTTACTGCGTAATGCAAGACACCATGCTGTAAGAGCAATGATCGCAGAAGAACTACGAAAAAAAGGCTGGCAAGTAGTAGAAGAAATACATTGCACTGAAGATGGTGGATCGAACAGAAGATTGGACATTTTAATTTATGATACAAAATCTAAAAGTGGAATTGTAATTGATCCAACAATAAGGTTCGAAACATCAACAAATCAACCCCTAGAAGTAGATGAAGAAAAGAGGAAAATTTATAGTAAATGTGAAACTTATTTAAGAAACAAATATAATCTAAATTCTATATCAGTAATTGGCATAATGATTGGTGCAAGAGGGACGATTACAAAATTTTTTGACGTGTTTTTAAAAAAATATAATCTTCCATCAAAATTAAAAAATGAAATAGTCATAAAAGTGTTAAAAGAATCATGTAAAATCATTCAAAATCATTTATATGGACAACGTTATTAATCTATGTTACATGTTATTTATATCGTAAATTTAAGTTTTTTTTACTGTGTCTAATAGGCAAAGTTTATTAATAAACTCAGTTTTCAAAATAAAATAAAATTGTAATCTTCGATTTGTTTTAGAGCAATATAATTTGTTTTAACTAACAGCTGGTTAAATATAAACTATGGAACTATGAGGTTATTTTATTTTTGTCATTGATTATAGGAAATAAGTAAGATTAGTAAAGATAATTAGACCACAGTTTAAACCACAGTTTCGACCAAAATTAATTAAACCACAGTACAAATCGGTCTGTACACGAGTCTTAATAAAAAAGGATAAATGCAAATTATTTTACTGCTCCACTTTTCAAGGAAAGATTAGAAAAATAACAAAGTTTACATGTTTTAATTCTTCATGGTAGCTTTTTGTTTACAATTAATTTTTGTCTGCTTTAACTTTGTTTGGATTAGGCCCGGAAATATTGATGTCATAAAAAGAAGATCAAGAATAATCAGGAATCACGATTTTAAATTACCACCACAACTTCAGCCGGGTTTTATACAAAGATAAACAGAAGGATGACATAGATTGAACACAACATCAACATTGACCTAGGATACTGCAATTAGACAAACCATCCTTTTATGAAATCGTGTTCAGTTGTAGTTACGTTTGGGGGCGCCTATATCAGCGCCCCCAGACGTGAAAATATCACTTTTATTTCAACTATGAATATATTGTAGTTTAAATTAACTAATATGGGAAATTACGATGTACATTTATTCAATAAGGGTGGGTAATTATCAAGGACAGAACTGATAACGGTATGGATAATAAACATTAACAATTACGTCATTAGCTTTACTAGCGTAGCGTGTTTACTTTTAATATTCCTGCTACATGTGACCAGTTCTTTTTTATTAAATTAATGTTATTTGAACCAAACAGCTGTTTCAAAACAAACTGTTATTGTTTTTCCTTTCCTTTGTTTACTCTTATTTATTTAGCAAATGCAGTGAAATTGATATAAAAGATAGGTGTGACGATTAGTTTTTATGTTAGGACACCAAAGTTAAATTATGTGTACTGTGAATTTTATTGGATACTATCGTTTTATTTTAGGTCGTTTCTATTCAGACCTACTGGAAATTGTGTACAGTAGTTGTATTGTGGTGATAATAATTATGGAAGAGGCAGGTATGCTATGGAAGGTGGCATCGTTGACTAGGTCTATACACTTCTCAATTGACTATTACTCTCTCTACTGTAGGCTACTTATAATCAGTGTGCGTCTGTGCGAATCGGCTGCAAATCTCACTTCAACGCTTTTCACATCGTAAAAATTGCAGAATTGCTGTTTTATTGTAAAATTATCGGATTTAAAATGCATATCGTATAGATAGGCCTATGATTGAATAAAAACATATTTGGTCACACAACATTTGTTTACAATATGATTTTTCACATTAAAACTGCAAGAAACTTTTTCTTTATATGTGTAAATAAACTAGCTGATCTGAATTGTACACGGTTTTAACTGATTACTGAATTCCCGTACGTAGGACGGGCTAACACCTCGTCACTATTAAAAATGTTTTAAACAAGTGAAAAATGCCAGGATATAACATGGATTAGTAGAAGTACCCAACGCACATACCAAATTTGTCAAAATCAGACTCTCGTATTAGTCGTAGGTCTATATACACAACCACCCACACACTGACACACACATACAGACTTTGATAACCACTTTTTGGGTTCAGACGGGCCCAAAACAGATATTTCCACCCAAAACTGAAACCATATGATCTTGACAAAACTATACTTTCTCCATAGGCCTATACTATGTAAAGGGAGAGAAGGTAATAACTTAATTGAAGGGACAGGACTAGCTACTGAAAATTTTCTATATTTTTTAAATTTTACTTTGAACTGTTATTGGCCTCTATGGGTTTACAATTTATTGGCAAGGAAATAATAAATGTCAGTGCTTATGATGGCACTCTTTAACCTGTTCTCAGTTGTGCTAATTAATCAAGTACCAGTAGGTACTTAAAATTCTGATCAAATTAAAATAATCCATTATATAACTTACCACTGGTAAAAGTGACAAACCACCTTTAAAAAAACATTATTTTAATATATATTTCAAAATCACTATCAAACAATACAGATCACAATAGCATAAATCACATTGTTAGATACTCCATTGAGTAAGGGTTAAACCCGTCGCATGTGGGGAAGTCTTGGGGTAGAGGGGCAACATCTGTTAACCGCCCCACCTCTATAACAGCAGAGATATCAGGGTCCGAGCGACATCGCAGCAACCAGAAACCTGGAACATAAAAGTATCTGAAGAAGGAATTCAAATTGATCAAATAACGGATATAAATTATAGAAACCTTTTAAAATTTTAAATGTAAATTATATTTGCCGGATCAGTCGAATTTCTCAACATTTATTTATTTATGGAAAATCCATTTTTACAGGGTATACATTGTAATAATACTACACACAAAAAAAATACTAACAAACATAAAAAATGCATCTGAGGTGTCTATTAAATACAGTGAGACTGGCTTAATAAACGTGCTGACACTGTACTGCTTAGATATTAATAATATGTGTATATATAAAACAGGCATGACTAGAAATAAATAGAATGATGACAAGCATGGACTAGAGTTGGGGTACAATAACCATAACAAACTTAACAAAAATAACAATGAGACGAAGGTTAACAAACAACAATGAGAACATTCATGAAAATGCTTATATTAGCTACGTCAGAAGCGTGTTCAGCAGAGCGTGGAATTTAGAGCACTGCGGTGGGCCAACAGCATCTTCCTCTTGATAATGGGGATGGTAGTCCAAAACAAGTCGACATCGGGTTGAAGCAGGTTGCCTGGCATTGAACACGGACCATTGTACTACTCAGTTCATACAATGTACCGTGGTGAAGTCTGGCAAACATCTCTCTCGATCTTGTGTTCGTAGGCACACGAAAGCTGATTCCCTTCAGGAGGCTGGGGCAGTCAATTTGGCCACTGGCCATTCAAGATTTTAAAGATAAAAAAACATCATGCATAGCTCTCCTGAGCTCTAGAGGTGGCAGGCGAAGATTCATAGAGAGATCCTGAACAGGGACCTCCAAGTAACCATAACAAATGCGGGTACCCACATGCCTGAGAAAATGAGTTTGCACAACATTGCATCAGACGTTCCAGTTCTGGCGACCGGTCTATGTGAGAACAGCAGTACTGTGAGTTGGAGAAAACGTAGCCAACAATAATTTAGCTAGTTAACCTAACAAAATTGTTTGAATCAATTACTGACAGTGGCAGTGAAGATAAGATCTTCGTTGTTGCAGCAACTCTTGCCTCGGAAGAGGAAGAGCATCAGCAACAGAAGAGGTTGTGGGTAGGCTACATAGTATTAACTCCAGTATAATTGAGCGAAGCTCTTATACTACACTCTTGCTTTTGTTTTACAAATACTCCTCCTGAACGGTTGAAGCGATCTGCATGAAATTTAGCACAAGTAACCAACCATGGGAAGGTATAAATCTGAAATGGTACAAATCGGACCACAGGGCTTTTCCCTATGTGAATTTCAACTTTTAGAAATTTAACATGGGCCTTATGGGTTAATTGGTTGCCATGACAGTATTTGCAAGATAACAATAAAAAGGTAAACAAAAGTTGTAACATGTGTTTACCAATAAATCATCTAACTAGCACATTGCAAAATAGAGAACAAAAGGGAAGAACAATCGGATTGATACCGTTGAGCATTATTTGCTACAAGTAAACATTTTTCATTTATGTTAACCAGACGTACAATTTACTTTGAATACTGCACCACTGCACATAGGGATTCCAAATTATGTGAACCAAATATATCATTAACTTTGGATACAGCAATTAGACATTACATTAACGTGAACCAGATGCATTATTGACTTTAGATACTGGAAGTATAGATGTCTCATTTACAAGAAACAGAGACATTGACTTTGGATACTTCAAGTAGACATTTAATATATGTAAACCAGATGAACTGTTGACTTTGATACTGCAAGTAGACATCCGTTTTACGTGAACCAAATGTATCATTAACTTTGGATAGGATAAGTACTGTAAGTAGACATTCCATTAATTTGAACCAGACGTGCCATTGACTTTAGATACTGCAAGTAGACATCTAATTTACGAGAACCAGATGAACCATTGACTTTAAATACTGCAAGTAGACATTTCATTTACGTGAACCAAATGTGCCATTGACATTAGATACTTCAAGTAGACATTTAATTAATGAGAACCGGATGAACCATTGACTTCGGATACTGTAAGAAGACATCCCCTTTACATATAACACATTTGGGTTCTGCAAGTAGACATTCCATTTACTTATTGAACCAAATGTGCCATTTGCATTGGATAAATCAATAGACATTTAATTTATAAGAACAGAAAGACCATTGACTTTAGATACTGCAAGTAGACATCTCATTAACGTGAACCAATTGTACCATTGACTTTGGATACTGCAAGTAGACTAGACATTCCGTTTACGTGTTATAAATGCACCATTGACATTGGATACTGCAAAGAGACATCTCATTTACGTTAACCAAAAGGAGCATTGACTTTGGATACTGTAAGTATACTTCCCCTTTACGTATGACAAATGTAGCATTACCTTTGGGTTCTGCAAGTAGACATTCCATTAATTATGTGAACCAAACGTACCATTGAATAAGGATTCGACCAGGAGACGTCTCATTTACGTGAACTAGATTTAGCATTGACTTTGGATACAGTGAGTAGACATTCCATTTACATAAAACAAACGTAGCATAGCATTGACTATAAAAAAATTGATTAATATACTTGCTCTGCTCAATATTGCAAGCATACAACTGCATTGCACACTTAGTAAAATATGAAGGAGAATTCCACACCTTGTTTCCCCGAAAAGAGGACAATATAAAGTTATTTTCCAGTACTCTCGAATGAGTTTCGATAAATTTATCAATCATCATTCTATTCTAGAAACATCAATAATAAAAATACCCCCGCCGCAGCAAACCTGCAGACTAAGCGAATTTCCATTAGCCTGATAGAATTTCACAAGGAGGATAAAATGCCTCCTTAAATATCATATTTATTCCCTATTTAAATAGAATTAGTTTAACGAGTACTTAGGTTTGCTGCAACAGGGAGGGTAAAAAGGTGTTTTTTTTATGTTAATAGTTTAGTAAGAAATGAATGTATTTTCCAAATTCGATCAAAATATGTTCATAAACAAGTATAACTACAACAGTTGACTTATTCTCCATAAGAATAACATAGGGATTTTAAATTTTCAATTTTTTTGAATTTTCTCTGTAACCATTAAGCGCACAATAACGCTTCAATCTACTAAATTATTTGTTTTTTTAAGCTCTACAAAATGGTTTGGAAATAAATTGTAAAATTTTGTGTTTTTATGGTCAAAAATGGGAAAAACCTATTTTTACCCCATAAAACCCCCCATAAACCCCCGTTCCCATAGTCCGATCATGCTGGTTCACGAACTCGTTCGAATAAATGTAGGTTTACACGTTTGTACCAAATTTCATCAAAATTGGATCATTTTTGCTCGAGTTATCGTGCTGACGGACACACACATATATATATATTAAGGAACGCGGCAGCGTTCCGCCCCGCCAAGTCCCCCAGCGGTACTCAGCTGCTGCAGTGTATATATACATGACGAGACAAAGTGGCTTTTTTACTCGTCTATAGCTCTGAAGAAACAAAAGCTATTAAAATAATTGTTCATCCACTGGATAGGGGCAATCATTCTTAGCAAAATAAACAAAAGAATTTAAAAAAAGGTTGTGTTTGAGCCAAGAAAAACTAGTTTGAAAATTCACAAATTTTCCGTGTTCTCCTTCTTCTCCTTAAATGTTGACGGACCTACAGCCCAAACCACTGGCTCAATTTTAATGTTTTTTATGTTGTTTGAAAGCCCTTAGCGTGTAGATGTGCCTTTTGAGGGTCACAAGTCGGTGCGTTGACCCATAAACCCTTGGCAAGCCCTCAAAGTACGATTTTGGCCCATTTAAATAACATGGGATTAAAATCAAAACAAAAGAAGGACCAGCTGCGATTAAATCTCAACTAATTTAAAATGTTAGAGAAATTCATAGGAACAGCTGAAACATTATTTTAAAACTTTTATAAAGTATTTTTTTCAGGTATACCGAATGATTTGAGCTACTTACTATATAAAATTACTTAGAGCAGTGATATTCCCCGATACTTTCCATTGAAAAATGCAGTGTACTGATGGTACACTGGTACAGCAGCTCGTCATTTTTAACAGTTTAATACTACTTATCAAAACATATGAAACCTAGGAACTTGAAACTTAGTACTAGTACTAAGGTTAGTTTTATGTTTTGATACACTAAAACAAATAAAACAATCGGGAAAATCCGTCTACGTATGTTAAACAAGCAAAAAAGTGAATGTAAAAAGTGATATGTAAATTTAGGATAAAAATGAGTTTTTCAATATTTGTTTTGCCTTATGCTATTTCTAACAAACCTAATCTGTTTGATTACATTTTTACTTCTCTAATAAGGGCTCAATTTACACTAGTCTTTAGATATACGGGTTTAATTATCGGAACACTTATGTAACACCAATGCATTTTATATGTAGTTGTGCCCTGGTCTATATATAAGAGAAAAGAGGATTTTTATTTTAACTGTTAATTTTCTACAAAAATAAATAAAATCTAACAAAAAACCACTAAGTGGTAACACTTCCCCCGCCAAGTCAGCAACCCAAAAAAGACAATAAATCACCACTTTTCCGCCAAGTAAAACAATGTAATGTATGTAAGTTTGGCCACTTGGCGGCAGACTTTTGCTTGATCACTTTAAAAAATACCATAAAATTAGTTTCATTGAGCAAGTATCTCTCCCAATAGTACATTGCTAGATGAGAGCTTATTTTACAAAATTTGACCTTAATTGTATCACATTTCATAAAATCATAATAGTGATGGTTTTATGTTTACTGATTACCTCGAAATTATTATACTTAGTTGGACTAATTAATTAGAGAAGTTGATTTGTGAAATTATCCACTAACGTAACTTTAATGAACAAAAAACAAGCAAAAGTCTGCCGCCAAGTGGCCAAACTTACATACATTACATTGTTTTACTTGGCGGAAAAGTGGTGATTTATTGTCTTTTTTGGGTTGCTGACTTGGCGGGGGAAGTGTTACCACTTAGTGGTTTTTTGTTAGATATATATATATGAATTTGAACGGATGGTGTTTAACAAAAAACCACTAAGTGGTAACACTTTCCCCGCCAAGTCAGCAATCCAAAAAAGATAATAAATCATTACTTTTTCCGCCAAGAAAAACAATGTAATGTATGTAAGTTTGGCAACTTGGCGGCAGACTTTTGCTTGGTTTTTTTCATTAAAGTTACGTTCGTGGATAATTTCACAAATCAACTTCTCTAATTAATTAGTCCAACTAAGTATAATAATTTCGAGGTAATCAGTAAATATAAAACCATCACTATTATGATTTTAGGAAATGTGGCACAAATAAGGTCGAATTTTGTAAAATAATTAAGCTCTCACCTAGCAATGTACTAATGGGAGAGATACTAGCTCAATGAAACTAGTTTTATGGTATTTTTTAAAGTGATCGAGCAAAAGTCTGCCGCCAAGTTGCCAAACTTACATACATTACATTGTTTTTCTTGGCGGAAAAAGTAATGATTTATTATCTTTTTTGGATTGCTGACTTGGCGGGGAAAGTGTTACCACTTAGTGGTTTTTTGTTAGATTTTATTTATTTTTGTAGAAAATCAACAGAAAAAATAAAAATCCTCTTTTCTCTGATATAGGCTATAGACCACGGCACAACTACATCTCATTTAATTTCAATAATATTGTTTGTGTAGAACTAAATTCTACATTTTTGGTCTTATCTGCTTTAAACCGATAAAAAACTTTTTGATACACATACCAACAAACCCCCTGGGCTTAAACTCAGTTTCAAATTTCATCAATGGTCATATTGAACAACATAAAATGCGTTGGTGTTACATAAGTGTTCTGATAATTAAACCCGTATATCTAAAGACTTAGTGTAAATAATTTAATTATTTAGTGAAAATAATTAGGCTCAATTATTATTGAGCCTTTATTAGAGAAGTAAAAAAGTAATCAAACGGATTAGGTTTGTTAGAAATAGCATAAGACAAAACAAATATTGAAAAACTCATTTATCCTAAATTTACATATCACTTTTTAATTGCTTGTTTAACGTACGTAGAGTGATTTTCCCGATTGTTTTATTTGTTTTAGTGTATCAAAACATGAAACAAACCTTAGTACTAGTACTAAGTTTCAAGTTCCTAGGTTTCATATGTTTTGATAAGTAGTATTAAACTGTTAAAATGACGAGCTGCTGTACCAGTGTACTATCGGTACTCTACATTTTTCAATGGAAAGTATCGGGGAATATCACTGCTCTAAGTAATTTTATATAGTAAGTAGTTCAAATCATTCGTTATACCTGAAAAAAATACTTTATAAAAGTTTTAAAATAATTTTTCAGCTGTTCCTATGAATTTCTCTAACATTTAAATTAAATGAGATTTTATCGCAGCTGGTCCTTCTTTTGTTTTGATTTTAATCCCATGTTATTTAAATGGGCCAAAATCGTACTTTGATAGCTTGCCAAGGGTTTATGGGTCAACGCACTGACTTGAGACCCTCAAAAGGCACATCTACACGTTAAGGGCTTTCAAACAACATAAAAAACATTAAAATTGGGCCAGTGGTTTGGGTTGTAGGTCCGTCAACATTCAAGGAGAAGAAGGAGAACACGGAAAATTTGTGGATTTTCAAACTAGTTTTTCTTGGCTCAAACACAACCGTTTTTTACATTCCTTTTTTTATTTTGTTGAGAATGAGTGCCCCTATCCAGTAGATGAATAATTATTTTAATAGCTTTTGTTTCTTCAGAGCTATAGACGAGTAAAAAGCCACTTTGTCACGTCATGTATATATACACTGCAGCAGCTGTGTACCGCTGGGGGACTTGGCAACATCCACCATTGTGATATATATATGAATTTGAACGGATGGTGTTTTTGGCCTCTAGGGACCTCAAAACAAAAAAATAAATCGGTCCCGGGTCCAGGTCTTACCATGAGTACTACGGTAATAGCTTATTCCCTATATGGGAAATTCGCTAAAAGTGCCTACTGTCACATTAAGTTTCCCGTGATAACGGAAGAAGTTCACAATTTCGCCGAGATCGTAGAAGACGTTAATGATTACACTGTGACTGCAAAGATTCACCTGATTTTCCATGACCATGGAAGATGTTCTTGATTTTGCAGAGTAAACCACTCTGGCTCTTAGACCTCTAGTTGACAGGAGCGTTTTTCCCCTCACAATGCTATCATTTACAACAGTGAGACTTATTGTAACATAAGGGATGGAAACTGGCTAGGATAGAAATGAAAGAAGTAAAGAATACAGGTCTGGTGTCAGATTTAAACTAGCACACTTGGTTACGACGATAGCTCTGTAGAGACCTTAGTTTACGGACAATCCTCTTATATGTTATTAGTGTACCTGGGTTGTCTGCCAGGACCCTGACCAGGGTGTACCCTCCGTCAGAGATAGTCACAGTGTCCTTAGAGATGATGAACCTACTGACCAGCCTCCTGTCAGCCAGGCTCTGTTGGAGGCTGTGTAAGTCATCAGACGAGGAGTCAGGGAGCCTTCCTTGCTCTACAATGTAGAAGTCATGTCCGTGGATGTGACAGGACAAACTCATGTTTGATGTTCCTAGAATAAAAATGGGAACAATACTAATAAAATTAAGGTGTTTCAAATGTATATTTTTTGTTGATTTTAGCGAATTTCCCATATAGGGAATAAGCTATTACCGTAGTACTCATGGTAAGACCTAGACGCGGGACCAATCTTTTTTTTTCGTTTTGAGGTCCCTAGAGGCCAAAAACACCATCCGTTCAAATTCATATATATTATTTATATATTTATATATATATATATATATATGTGTGTGTGTGTGTGTGTGTGTGTGTGTGTGTGTGTGTGTCCGTTAGCACAATAACTCGAGCAAAAATGATCCGATTTTGATGAAATTTGGTACAAACGTTAAACCTACGTTTATTCTAACGAGTTCGCGATCCAGCATGATCGGACCATGGGAACGGGGGTTTACGGGGAATTTTATGGGGTAAAAATAGGTTTTTCCCATTTTTGAACCAAAACACATAAAATTTAGCAATTTCTTTCCAAACCATTTTGTAGAGCTTAAAAAAACAAATAATTTAGTATACTAAAGCATTATAATGCGCCTAATGGTTACGAAGAAAATTCAAAAAAATTGTAAATTTAAAATTCCCATGTTATTCTTATGGAGAATAAGTAAACTGTTGTAGTTTGCTTATTTATGAACATATTTTGATAAAATTTGGAAAATGTTTTTATTTCTTACTAACTATTAACATTTTACAACAAAAAAAACAGTTTTACCCTCCCTGATGCAGCAAACCTAAGTACTTGTTAAACTAATTCTATTTAAATAGGGAATAAATGTTATATTTTTAAGTAGACATTTCAGTGTAAATCCAATCAGTAAAATGGAAATTCGCTTAGTCTGCAGGTTTGCTGCGGCGGGAGTATTTTTTTAAATTTAAAGACAATGAATTTCAATTGTTTGTTTGCCAACACTTATGTTTTATAATACTATAACAATTTTTTAAATAAAGAAAGAAAATATAATAGACTAGCTGTTGTACCCGTGCTTCGCAATGGAAAGGACACTGAAGCAAAAAAATTTGATCTTGAATTCTGTTGTATAAAATAGTTACACATTCCCCTTAGGTTTCAGGAACATAACTCAATTGAAACTCTTAGTTTGACAAATATCTTTCTTTAAGGCTAGGTTAACTTATAAGACTACCTAGTACGAATTATATGAGGCGCCGATGCATTTATGGAAATAATGTACCCATACGATTCAATTTTCAAATGATAAGCTTTCTTAAACATTTATTTCGTTCATAAATGTACATATAAAGTAAATAAGGCAAAATAATCGCACAACATAAAGCACTGTAGTAAAGCAAAAAAAAAAACAGTTTATATTGATTTCACATATAATTAATCTAACAAAAAACCACTAAGTGGTAACACTTCCCCCGCCAAGTCAGCAACCCAAAAAAGACAATAAATCACCACTTTTCCGCCAAGTAAAACAATGTAATGTATGTAAGTTTGGCAACTTGGCGGCAGACTTTTGCTTGTTTTTTTTTTCATTAAAGTTACGTTGGTGGATAATTTCACAAATCAACTTCTCTAATTAATTAGTCCAACTAAGTATAATAATTTCGAGGTAATCAGTAAATATAAAACCATCACTATTATGATTTTATGAAATGTGACACAAATAAGGTCAAATTTTGTAAAATAAGCTCTCATCTAGCAATGTACTATTGGGAGAGATACTTGCTCAATGAAACTAATTTTATGGTATTTTTTAAAGTGATCAAGCAAAAGTCTGCCGCCAAGTGGCCAAACTTACATACATTACATTGTTTTACTTGGCGGAAAAGTGGTGATTTATTGTCTTTTTTGGGTTGCTGACTTGGCGGGGGAAGTGTTACCACTTAGTGGTTTTTTGTTAGATTGTATTTATTTTTGTAGAAAATTAACAGTTAAAATAAAAATCCTCTTTTCTCTTATATAGACCAGGGCACAACTACACATAAAATGCATTGGTGTTACATAAGTGTTCCGATAATTAAACCCGTATATCTAAAGACTAGTGTAAATTGAGCCCTTATTAGAGAAGTAAAAATGTAATCAAACAGATTAGGTTTGTTAGAAATAGCATAAGGCAAAACAAATATTGAAAAACTCATTTTTATCCTAAATTTACATATCACTTTTTACATTCACTTTTTTGCTTGTTTAACATACGTAGACGAATTTTCCCGATTGTTTTATTTGTTTTAGTGTATCAAAACATAAAACTAACCTTATTTAGTTAAATAAATTTTGGCAATATTATGAAGAAACAATGTTAAAACTAACCTTAGTACTAGTACTAAGTTTCAAGTTCCTAGGTTTCATATGTTTTGATAAGTAGTATTAAACTGTTAAAAATGACGAGCTGCTGTACCAGTGTACCATCGGTACACTGCATTTTTCAATGGAAAGTATCGGGGAATATCACTGCTCTAAGTAATTTTATATAGTAAGTAGCTCAAATCATTCGGTATACCTGAAAAAAATACTTTATAAAAGTTTTAAAATAATTTTTCAGCTGATCCTATGAATTTCTCTAACATTTTAAATTAATTGAGATTTAATCGCAGCTGATCCTTCTTTTGTTTTGATTTTAATCCCATGTTATTTAAATGGGCCAAAATCGTACTTTGAGGGCTTGCCAAGGGTTTATGGGTCAACGCACCGACTTGTGACCCTCAAAAGGCACATCTACACGCTAAGGGCTTTCAAACAACATAAAGAACATTAAAATTGAGCCAGTGGTTTGGGCTGTAGGTCCGTCAACATTTAAGGAGAAGAAGGAGAACACGGAAAATTTGTGAATTTTCAAACTAGTTTTTCTTGGCTCAAACACAACCTTTTTTTAAATTCTTTTTTTTATTTTGCCAAGAATGATTGCCCCTATCCAGTGGATGAACAATTATTTTAATAGCTTTTGTTTCTTCAGAGCTATAGACGAGTAAAAAAGCCACTTTGTCACGTCATGTATATATACACTGCAGCAGCTGTGTACCGCTGGGGGACTTGGCGGGGCGGAACGCTGCCGCGTTCCTTAATATATTTTACCGTAGCTAATATAATGAGCTCTTTTCAAAGTTCAATCTTTTAACTCGTATTACCTTTTGTTAGAAAGCCTACCACTATTATTGTTACTCAGGGCACAAATTTCATCAATTTAAATATAAATCAACAAAGAAATACATAACAGTAATTATTTTAACTCGTTCCATAGTTCAAAACGTGTATGTATTTGCATTAAATTACATCTATCTATCTATATATTAATTTGAAACTGTTTTTCTTTGTGACAGCTATTTTGAGAGAACGGCTGGGCGTAGAAACTCCGTAGAGGTGTCTAAAGAAAGGTCCCGGTCTGTAGATGAGCCATCAAAAGAGAAACATTGGAGAATTCCCTCGAGGCTCTGCCCCAGTGGCCTTTAAATTCCCATCCCATGTTATTCTTATGGAGGAAAACAAGGTTTTTGTCACAGCTAATTTGAGAGAACGGCTGGGCGTAGAAACTTGGTCGGGGTGTCCAAAGAAAGGTATTGGTCAGTAGGTGAGCCCTCAAAAGATAAACAAGGTAAATTTCCTTGGGGCTCTGCCCCAGAGGCCTTTAAAGTTCACTCTGCAATTTTGTTTACATTTCGACCATATGGATAATTTTACACTACTTTTAATGAACCAGCTGTTAATATTAAAATTGTATTCAAAGGTCTACTGAAACTGTCAAAATTAAATGTTTAAATTATTATTTATGATTTTAAATGGATTCTCCACTGCATGGCAAGTTTTTTATAGTTTCAACAAAATCATGAATTTATGATACGTTTTAAATGTTTTGTTCAAAAATCTATGCTTTATTGCTCTTAGAAAATTTTAAATTATGAAATAAGTGTGACATATCAATTTCAAAGGAACATATAACTATTACTTATCGGGTTAGCTTATATATATTGTAAGGTTGGCACTTGCCTTTTTTTCCTACTTTCAATCACCATTTATTTTTAAATTCGAGAAAGAACACCTGAGATTCATTTATTGGTATAACAGTTTTTGATAATCGGGTTGTTTTCAAAATAAACTTATCACACACTTTTTTTAAAATTTCTATATTTCGGCATTAGCCTTCTTCAGGAACAAACACAATAACAAATAGAAGTGTTTACCACCCTGAATCATATGGTTTTAGCAAAAATCCAAAATACATATAATTTATGAAGAAATAAAAAAGAAAATGTTTTGATAGAAAGAAAGAAAAAAAATTATATATATATATATATATATATATATGTATATATATACTATCTCAAATTTAGACCGGAAGGTGTTTTAGATTTAAGGTAAAATTTAGATTGATAATCGGGTTGAAAATTGTGTCATAGATGAGTACGTTGAGTATGAGAGCTGTGTTCAAGTTTTGGAATAGACTAACTACGGAGTCTATGGTTTTGGTAAAGTAGGTGAACTAATGTCAATTTTGGTATAAAAAAAAATGTGTACACAGTTTTTACTTTGATGTATACATGTAGCTAGGTCGAACAACGCATCTAAACCTCACTACATACAAAACATTCAGAAACACAACAGTTTCATCACATCTCATCGCATTTGCATAATTTGTTACCAAGGCTGGACTAGGTCAGAGGTTCCCAAACTGTGGTACGTGTACCCCCTGGTGGTACGCGAGACATTGCCAGGGGGTACGCGAGTAGGACTATGCCAGTTTGCGCGATCTAGTGGCGAGGGAAGCCAAATTATGCCAAGCTCATCCCTCACATTGAATAACTGATTACTTTCGTGTGACAGATTTATCGTGTGACATTCACAATTCTGAATTTTGTATTTTGTAATTTGATTATAATTAAATAAATGTATTAATGTAGTTTCTTGCATTTTATCATTCCAACCTACTAAGTTTCAACATCAATAACTAAAAACAAAAGTAATAAAATAGTAATTTTATATAATATTAAAAATCTTGTATTGCATTTTATAGTTGAAATTCAGATTTTATAACATAGGTC